AGGCAATCCACTCACCTCAGCCTCCCAAAGGCACGGGATTACAGGCTGAGCCACCATGCCCGGCTTTGTTTCTTAATTTCTTAGTGGCTGAGCCCCTGAGAGTGTCGTGAAGTCCACTGGAGGTTGTAGGAGTTGTTGGGTTATCTTCCCTCCTTCCTCTCTAGGTTGGCCCTTTCTGAGATCACTGACCAAAGCTGAGATTTTAGAACGTGTCACCAAGAGAGATGCCTCCTTCATTGTCTTTCAGTTTAGTTGGTTTATGATTGTCTTCTTTTGGGGTTTCTGCCAGCACCTCATACCCAGGGGGTGATGAATTACGAAAAATGAAAGTGTAAAAGATCAGGGAAGCAAAAAAAAAAAAAAAAAAAATCAGAAGAACAATACAGAGTTGTCAGAAAGCCCCAGCCTATCACCCAAAGAACTTTTCAGCTATCAGACATTTCGTTTTCACAAGTGGGAGGTCGGGAGTGCCCCCAGAAGAGTTTGGAGGGCAATTGATCCAGGAAGCAGATGAAAGGGTGAACTTGCTTTCATGGTGGTGCTGGTTTCTGAAATTAGGTGTTGCAGGAAGACCTGGCACTGATTCTAACAGATAGCGCCCAGGTTGGCGGCAATGCACATGTTTTCGAGCTCTGTCATAGCTGCACCTTCTTATCACTCCATTTTGCATAATGAGGCTATAAAGGAACCCTGCCACTTGCCTCTGAGCTGGCGCCGGGCCAGGATGCTGGAGGCAGCTCTACCAGCATGATTTCACCTCCAGTTTTCCATGTTCTCCCTATGTCCCCCTTCCTCTATCCTGCTCCCCAATCCCCTCTGGGATAGGGATGCCCAGAGGGAGGAGGGGGGATTTCAAGGGGAGAGATGGAGATGGAATGCTAGTCAAAGGCTTGGCTTCAGTAAAGTCTTCTCTCAGAGCAAACCTTAAAGTGGTGGCCGTGGCAGTTTGGAAAAGAAGGAGTTTATCATCGACTTGTAGTTTTTAAAAACCTGCTAACAAAGATTTCCCTGGAATCTAGAAAATGGAAATTCTAATTTCCAGGGCAGAACTAGGACACTAGAGCTTCTTAGGCAGAGGTGCCAAGTGTGGATGGGCTGAGCTGAAGGGGCATGGGGCTCGGAGGAAGGGGAGATCTTGGAGACCGCTCCTGGTGGCCATGTCTTCTGATTTTTCCGAATGTCTAATTCTGCACCAACAGTGCTACTTCCAGTCTCTCTTCCTTTATCCTGTTTGAATCCAAGCCTCTCACTTAGTCTCCTTAAGTGAGAAGAATGCTTTGTAAAGACTGTTCCTTTTTTTATTTTATTTTATTTTTTGAATCATGGTCTCTCTCTGTTGCCTGGGTTGGAGTGCAATGGCACAATCACAGCTCACTGCAGCTTCAACCTCCTGGGTTCAGACAATCCCGGGTAGCTGGGACTACAGGCATGCACCACCATGCCCAGCTAGTTTTTTTTAATTTTTTGTAGAGACTGAGTCTTTCAGACTCCTGGCCTCAAGTAATCCTTCTGCCTGGGCCTCCCAAAGTGCTGGGATTGCAGGTGTGAATCACTGCTCCTGGCTTTCAAAGACTGTTCCTTAAAAAGTTTTGCCAGCTTCTGTGCAGCTAGAGCTTCTTGGTGTTATTTATTTTTTGAGTCGGAGTCTCACGGCCACGCTCACAGCCACGCCAGCGTCTACCTGCTAGGCTCAGGTGATTCTTCTGCCTCAGCCTTCCAAGTAGCCAGAACTACAGGCATACGCTACCACACTTGGCTAATTTTTTGATTTATTGTAGAGACGAGGTCTCTCCAAGTTGCCCGGGCTGGTCTTGAACCCCTGGGTTCAGGCAATCCTCTCACCTCAGCCTCCCAAAGTGCTGGGATTACAGGCATGAGCTACTGCACCCGACCTCTTGGTGTTATTTAGATCTGCTCTCCCTAAGAATACTGCAGTAACCTGGACTGGCCAAGTCTAGGACTGATAGAGGAAAAAAACTATGTAATATCATATACCAGCTGGGGAAACTGAGTCCTATAGAAGCTGAGTGATTGTTGACGATTACATAGTAAATTAGAGTTGGCACTAGGACAAAAAACAAGGTCATTGTTCAGTGCACTCGTTCAATGCTTTTCTCCCTGTACCTCACTAGAGGCTAGGAAGAGATGGGTTTTGATTATGTCTTTTGTTCAATTAACATTCACTGGGTTTCCCCCATGTACAGGGTGCCATATTTAGGGCATTAGATTCCTCTTCAGTCTTTAATGTCAGTAGACTCCTCCTAACTGTCCAGCCAAAGGAAATTTTTTTTTTTTAGTCAGAGTCTCACAACCACCCCAGCATCAACCTGCTGTGCTCAGGTGATCCTTCCACTTCACCCTTCCAAGTAGCCAGGACTATAGGTGTGCTACCATGCCTGGCTAATTTTTTAATTTATTGTAGAGATGAGGTCTTGCCAGTTGCCCAGGCTGTTCTCGAATCCGTGGGCTCAGACAATCTCACCTCTGCCTTCCAAAGTGCTGGGATTACAGGCTTGAGCCACCGCAGCGCCTGGTCGGAATTCTTTCTTTAATGATGCAATGCACTGTTTTTTCCACAGGGATTAAGCACAAGAATAGTTGTTAGTGTGAACTTGTAACTCAGGTTAAACAAATACAAACAGAAGAGATTCCAGATGTCAGTGGTATTCTCAGCATAGACCAAGAAAGTGTTTTGGCCAGCATCTCTATAGCCCAGAGTTTCCATCTGGGTAGGGAACAACCAAATGTCCCTATCAGGGGGTCTCACCAATGTCTTTATGAGGTGTGGTCCAGAGCCTCTGCTTTTTGCCCTAGTATATAAATTCAAAGTCACTTAGCTTCCCCTCCAGAGGGACTTCCTAAAAAGCTACAAGAGGGTAGTTGTCCTTGGAGTAGGAGGAGGTGTGGGCACCAGTACTTCCTGCCCTGCCCTTGGACACCTGGGAGACCCGTGAGTGAGTGAGTGTGCTGTCATTGAAGGGTGATAGAGACTGGAGAGAGTTTGGAAACCACTACAGGCCCCTCAGACTACAACTGTGGCATTGGCTGAGAGGGAGACGTGTCTCCGCCTGTAGGGAGACAGGCAAAGCCACCGAAGCCACACAGGCAAAGAGGGCCAGCTGCAGAGACAGCTTAGCACTTAGAGGACAGAGAGGCATTGGGTTCAAGGAGTGGGGGCACGGGAAGAGAGAGGAAGTCTTCAAGATCATTGGCTCCCAGACTTTGGAGTTTCACAACTGGGGTTCCATGCAGGAAAAAAAAAAAAAGAATTTGAGAGAGATCAATTAAAGTTGCTGATTTTTTACTCTATGAGGTGGGGAGTTTTATAAATACCTTTAGGGCCAGGTGTGGTAGCTCATGCCTGTAATCCCAGCACTTTGGGAGGCTGAGGCAGGAAGATCACTTGAAGTCAGGAGTTCAAAAACAGCCTGGGCAACCAAGCAAGACCTTGTTTCTAAAACAGAAATTTAAAAATTAACAGGATATGGTGGCTTGGGTTAGTCCCAACTGGTGGAAGGACTGCTTGAGCCCAGGAGCTCAAGGCTGAAGTGAGCTATGATCACACTACTGCACCCCCAGCCTGTGTGACAAGGTGAGACCCTGTCTCTACAAAAAACAAAACACAAGGCCAGGCACTGTGGCTCAGCCTATAATCCCAGCACTTCAGGAGGCCAAGGCGAGCGGGTTGCCTGAGCCCACAGGTATGAGACCAGCCTGGGCAACTTGGCGAGACCTTGTCTCTACAATAAATCAAAAATTATCCTGTGGGACAATTTCTGACTTATACCCACGTCCTAAAAAAAAAAAAAAAAAGTTAGCCAGGTGTGGTAGTGCACATCTGTGGTTCCAGCTGCTTGGAAGGCTGAGGCGAAAGGATGGCCAGAGCCCAGCAGGTTCATGCTGGGGTGGCTGTGAGCATGCCACTGCACTCCAGCCTGGGCGATAGAGTGAGACTCTATCTCAAAAAAATTTTTTTTTCCTTAGGATCCCATCATTTCCTAAAAGAAAATTCTTTTTTTTTTGAGTTGGAGTCTCACTCTGTCACCCAGGCAATCCACTCACCTCAGCCTCCCAAAGGCACGGGATTACAGGCTGAGCCACTGAGCCCAACTAAGAAAATTCTAACATCTCTTCCTCCTAAGAAAAAAAGAACATTGCCTCAGAATTTCCAAGAATTTAGTCCATCAGGCTGTATTTGTATTTATTTTTTATGTTATCTTATTTTATTGAATCAGAGTAACCTAGACTCAGGTGATCCTTCTGCCTCAGTCTTCCAAGTAGCTGGGACTACAGGTGCATGGCCCAGGCTGGAATGCAATGGCGCATTCATAGCTGCTGCAGCCTCAACCTGCTGGACTCAGGTGATCCTTCTGCCTCAGTCTTCCAAGTAGCTGGAACTACAGGTGCATGCCACCATGCCTGGATAATTTTTTGATTTATTGTAGAGACAAGGTCTCGCCAAGGCTGGTCTCGAACCCCCTGGGCTCAGGCACATTAAGCCTTATTTGCAAAGGTCACTCCACTATCCCTATTCTTCTCATTTCAGTGAGGAAGAGTGTAAACCACACTAGATACCGTCACAGCCCTCAGAATGGTGTCTGGGAACGATCAGTCTAAGTGGACCCCCCATCTTGTAGACTGGCACTCCATAGGGCCACTCGCATGTGTCTCTGACCAGCTGCCCTGGGTCACAGGGCACTCATAGGCAGGAAAGTGAAGTTGTAGTCTAGTAGGCCCTGGACTAGCTCTTTCCTCTCCGGGTTTGGCACTCCTCTCGTATCTCAAGCTCCTGGCTGTGTTCATCTCTGTCTGCCTGGGGAGGCCCAGAACTGACACTCTCCTCCTGTCTCCACTTGCAGATTAAGACAGAGGACCTCAGTGACTCCCTGCAGCAGACCCTCTCCCATCGGCCATGTCATCTGAGTCAAGGACCCGCCATGATGTCCGGAAACCAAATGTCTGGGGTAAATACAAGCCTTTGTCAGGGAACCCCTATGGTCTCAGTGGGCCAGTGAATTTAATTCAGTCCCTCTGCAAAACGCTAGACCTCCATGCTTGGCATTCTGTGAATCTATATAGGTCTAAAGAACTCCCCCCCACCCCTGCAGGGAATGTGAAAGTCTGGGGTGGTGGGGAGATGGGCTAAACAGTCCTTTTACAGGTGAAGCCTGGCTAGGGATGTGAAGTCTGACTCCTTTTCGTCCCAGAAAAGGAGCCAGATTTGCAGAAACCAAGGACGCATCAGCTGTGCCGCTGGTGCCTGCCAGCCACATCAGGGGATTCCTATGGTGACGGCACGACTGCAGTTTCAGAATGTTTCTGTCCCCAGCGGGCCCACTCTGCCTCCCCCAAGGTTTTATGTCAGAGCCTAACTAGAATGGAGTGCTGGTTCAGGGAGGAAGATGTCCTGAGACAGGAACAGCAAGGGGTCATGAGGATATTTGTATGGCGAGCCTTTCTCTCAGTATGGACCACCTGGGGTCCGAGAAGTGGGCCCTGCTCTGGAAATACTTCATCCATTCCTTCGCCCCTCATTACCAAGGCTTCTCTATTGCACAAACCTAAGCTCAGCCCCTGGGGCACAGAGCCCTGGGTGTCTGGATCAGAGAATCTCCCAGATCCCTCAGTAATGGGATTGTTATTCTATATTCTGGGCTGGTGGGAGAAACCCAGAGGAAATAGTTTTTTTCTGTTTCACCAAACTGGTTTTATTAAGAACTCAGGCTGACTTATACCTGTAATCCCAGCACTTTGGAAGGCCGAGGCAAGAGGATTGCCTGAGCCCATGAGTTCTAGACTAGCCTGGGCAACATAGCAAGACCTCGTCTCTACACAAAATAAAAAAAAATTAGCTGTGGTAGTATGCACCTATAGTCCCAACTACTCAGAAGGCTGGAGTAGAAGAAAGACTCGCCTGAGCCCAGGAGGTCAAGGCTATAATGAACCATGATCATGCCACTGCGTTGCAGCCTGGGTGACAGAGTGACACCCCAACTAAAAAAAAAACCAAAAACCTACTAGCTTACCCTATACCCCAACTTCCACGCTATTCAGGCACAGGAAATAGCTAAGGCATGGCTTTCAGCATAATCAAGTGGCATGAGATTTAAGGGGGAAAAAAAAGGACAACTGAGATTGCATGTTATTTCTAGGATAAACCTTTGTGGGATGGGTAATACCCAGTCTCTGCCCTCAGGGCAGTTAGTCTAGTTGGGAGACAGGACTGACACACACAAATTAAATCTGGAGGCAAGGGTTAAGTAACAATATGTTGCAAGGACTGCTTGGCTGAGTGCAGAAGCTGTAACAACACCAGCAAGAAGTGGGCCCCCATTATTTGCCAGAGACTGGGGATACCCAGTGGCATAAGGCAAGGTCACTGCCTGCATATGCTCTCCTAGTCTGGAGACCCATGGGGCAGGTGGGTGACAGGCAGGTGAGCTGGTGTCCCCAGCTTGTGAATTCTGTGATGTGTATCTGTCTCCCACATGTAGGACATGGCTTCCCTCCATCCGCTCCAACAGCTGGTGCTGGTTCCCAGCCACTTACAATCTGTATCCCAGTTCCTGCTATCTCAGACCCAGCCTGGGCAGCAAGGTAAGAACCACGGGAGTTTCCACAGAGACCAAGTTCCTTAAAGCGCTGACGCTTACTGAGGAGCCTAAGTGTAGGCACTGGTGAGCTGCTCCCCCTTTTGGTATTAAGACCCGCCCACTTGTCCCCCTTAGGTCTGGGGACAGGACTATGGCAGTACTGCTTCAGACTTAGTCTCCTTCTCTGCCTCTCTTCCCAGCCTCCCGCTGGGTCTGGCCCAACACCCCATTTTCAAGGAGAGCTGAGCTTGGACAAGGGAGGGGAAACACCCTGGGAGATGCAGAAGAGGGTACTTGTCCCAAAGCCTCTGAAATCTCTCCTGGACACAAGTTCAGACTCGCCTCCTGGAGGCCTGGCTGTGGTTCTATTTGGATAGAGCAGCAGTGCCACCCACAGGTTGTAGAAAGGGTTTTCAGGTTTTCTTTGGCAGGGGAGTTAACTCCCAGAGACCTTCTCCCTGGCCAAGAGCAAACAGATTAAACTATTAATAAATAGCTAACATTTCTTGAGCACGCTGTGCCAGGAGCTCTGCTGAGTGATTTTTCCGACATCCTTCAAAATAACCTTATGCAGAAGGTAGTCATAATATTGATCTGGTGACCTCCTAGAAAGTTCCAGAACAGTTTAACTGAGACCGAAGCTCTTGATATCACCTCATACTGCTTCTTCCACGCCCATCTCCACCAACTGGTGTTGAAAGTGATGGAGAAAGTAGGAAGTCTTTTCTGTTGTACAAATTCCAAACTCCAAACAAAATGTAACTCTGCCTTCCGTCGTTAGCACCTGCCCCAATTACAGTCGCTATCCTTAGTGTCCAAGGCATCTTGGAATATTATTAAGATAAATGAGGACATATTTGAACTTTTAAGTGTTTATTTTGGCTAAATATTATACATCATACTTTTGGAATAGGAAAGAGAAGATAAACAGTTACTTTAATTTGTTTTTGGAAGGCAGGAGGGTGATGTGAAAATGACCCCGGGCACACAACCAATGAGGTCACTGTGTGATGCAGGGGGTGAAAAATAAATTCAAAATATGGAGTTGGAAAAATTCATTCTTTAAAAAATAATCACTAGCCGGGCTTGGTGGCTCAGCCTGTAATCCCGTGCTTTGGGAAGCTGAGGTGAGTAGATTGCCTGAGCCTGTGGGTTCGAGACCCGCCCGGGCAACTTGGCAAGACCTCATCTCTGCAATAAATCAAAAAAATTAGCCAGGTGTGGTAGCCCACGCCTGTAGTTCCGGCTACTTGGAAGGCTGAGGCAGAAGGATCGCCGGGGCCCAGCAGGTCGAGGCTGCGGTGGCTGGGAGCATACCACTGCACTCCAGTCTGGGCGACAGAGTGAGACTCCAACTCAAAACAATAATAATAATAATAATCACTTACTGGCTGTATGTCCTTGGGAAACTTACCTAACCTCTCTGAGGTTCCATTTCCTCTTCCAAAAAAATGGAATGATAGCAAAGCTTGACTTCACAAGGTTATTGAGAGCTACTTGAAATAATGCATGTGAAAAGGTTTGATACATTTTAAAATGCAATACAATGTTAGAATTTCTATTGGTACTCAAACCTCTGAACTCCCAGTCCAGGGTTCTTTATAAGAGCTGCCTACTTGTTTTAATAATGAACAAGTAAGCCCTGACTTTTTGAGACCGAGGAGCATGACGGTCAATGTCAACAGATGCTATACACCAGTGACCCAGCACAGCCTGGGGACCACAGAGACCCTAAGGTGCTCCTCCGTGGCAAGTGGTTGGGGTGGCCCACCCCATTGTCTGCTTTGGTGGTTTGATGGCCCCACTCCTGCTGGGAGAGTGAGAGATCCTGGCCATGGCCCTCCCGAGAGAGGCCACCAGTCATGGCCACCAACCAGTCAGAGCCCTTCGTGCGCAGTTTTCCTGGAGAGGGAAGGAGAAGGGGGTCCCTAAGGTGCAACAGGCAGGTACGATGAACACTGCCCAGGAGAGTTTTCAGGAGCTTGGCCCTGGTCTTCCTTGCTCTCTCAGCCCTTCATCTGAGGAGAAAATGTCCTGGTCAGCCTTGACCGAGGTCTGCTGCCCCTTAGAGCTGTACGGTCCCCACTGCTTGTCTGACATCCTCGCAGACCCACCTGGGCCCTTGTAGCCATCCCAGCTTCTCCTCCTGCAGGAAAAGCCAAGTCCTCAGCTCCAGCTGCATTCTCAGTAGGCACCCCAACATCCCCTCCCTTCCTGGGTTTCTTCAGCTCCCATGATCAGATCCCAGAGTAGATGGTCTTGACCCTCCTTAGCCTTTGCACCTCTCCAGACAGACAGGTGAGCAGAAGGACTGGTTTGGTGACTGCTGTTTATGTCTCTGTTTATCCCTGGGTCTGACTTGCCTCCACCTGTGTGTGGCAATTCCTGGCAGTGCCTGGCAGGGGGCCCCTCCACAAGGTTTGAGCTGGACTGTGGGACTTGACTGGGTGGCAGGGGGTGGGGACAGTGGTCATGGTTCCAAGGTTGTAGAGCATGTCTTTCAGATGGCCTGGATTTCATTCTCTGTTCCTTTGTTCCTTCCCTTCCACCCAGGTCTACAGCCAAATCTCCTCCCCTTTCCACAGCAACAAAGCAGTCTCCTCCTCCCACAGACTGGGCCGGGCCTGGCCTCCCAGGTAAACAACCCCCTTCTGTCTGCTTCCTCTAGGAATGTTGGGGCTGTCCACTGAGTGTAGCTCACTGGCTTTCCCCCACCCCTACAGGGCACTTACCCTCTGGGAAGAGGGAACAGCAGGAGTCTCTCCCTGTAGGAACAGGGGGCTATCTGAGCTACAGTCAGGGAGGATGATTTACCCAGTGTCATGAGGGGTCCAGAATTAAAACCCAGAGATTCCAACTCCCAGGCTAGGTTCCTCCGTGCTGTGAGTGCTGAACTCCAGCCCTGAACAACCGGTGAATCACTCTTCGGAGAGCCAGGGCTCAGCTAACTTTCTAGGCATACCAAGACGGCCACTAGCTCTGCCTAAGTGCTTTCAAGTGCCAACGGGGAGTCTAGACTGCACAGGTCAGATAGTGCAGTTATTTGCTCTACCTTCAAGGACTCCAAGTTTGACTTCCATGCCATTGAAAAAATAGGACTCAAACATACCCTAGGATCTGTCATCTCCAAGTGGGCCTATTCCTAAAACATACCAGGGCCTCCCCCTCTGGGTGCTCTTCCAGACTGCCTCCTGCAGTGCGTGGTCAGGCAGGCTGAGGTCTGGGAGAGGGGCTGATTGCAGAGCTACCATGGTTCAACATTGCACCTTTTTTTGCCAATTAAATAAAAGGCACCTCTTCCTCTGGCCAGCTGCAGCCTCATGCCAGGATGCAAAGCTTGGTGACAGTGGCATGAGCTGTGTCTTAGCTGCCATTCCTCTCTTCATCTGGGTGCCCCTATACAGTTGTAACCCTCAGCTGCATGAAGTGCCCCCACAAAGATGGGTGTGCAGAATGGTCAGGAACAGCAGCAGAGATGATGATGTCCCTTCTCTGTGCTAAGACCCCCGTGGCTCACTATCCTGACCTTAGAGAGGGCTCAGAGAGGCTACTAGACACCTGGAAGGGCGAGGGCGCCATCTAGTGGTTAGAAGAAATGGTGTAGCAGAGTCAAAGGCGTTTCTTCCACCTCCTCTCTGGCCTCCCCAAAATCTCATATCATAGGCTCACTACTGGAAGAGATCTTAAGAGAGTATTCAAAGTCAATGCTTATATCTTATAATATTTGTGTATGTAGCCGGGCATGGTAGCGCGCCTGTATTTCCGGCTACTTGGAAGGCTGAGGCAGAAGGATCGCCGGAGCCCAGCAGGTGGACGCTGGGGTGACTATGAGTTTGCCACTGCACTCCAGCCTGAGTGACGGAGTGAGACTCCCAAAAAAAAAAAAAAAAAAAAAAAAAAAATTGTGCATGGAAAAACTGGTACCAGAGAAACCACCTAGAAGGTTAAGATCATCCTGGGGAGGGATAATAAAGGTTGGCTTAGGGTCATGGCAACAACAGGGGGTAAGTGGAATCAGTACAGTTTTGGGAAGTTGAATCAGTACAGTTTGGCAACTGACTGGATGTGAATGGGGGAGGGAAAAGGTCTAGCTGAGAACTCAAAAAGTATTTGTCAAATGAACAAACAGATCAATTAATGGAAAGGAAGTTTCCAAGAGGACGGAAACTTTGCCCTGAAGGTCTGGTCTACAGCACCCACTCCCTGCAAAACAAGACCAGATGTTTGATAGTTTCAAACTATTCTGTTCTAAAAGATCCATCACTGAGGAAGAGAGTCCTTAACCTCTCAGGTCCTTTTATGTTCTTCATCATCACAATGCCTATTTGAATGGTAAACCAGAATATCTGGGAAGAGAGAAGAAATACTGTTAGCCTCAACTAGGAAAAGAGTAAACTAGGAAGGAGAAAAGAGGGTGGATTTAGCCCAAGTTATCCACATGGGCAGTAGCTTCTGAGCTGGACACAGTGCCTGGATACCCTAGGCCTGGATCCCACTACTTCTTTGTGGAATGATTTCTTTCCTTAAGATTAGATTCATTCCTGACCTCAAACGGGTGCAGCATGGTCCTAGGTGTAAAGGTATATTTTCCTAGGACAATAAACTCAAGAAAGGGTACCTCTTGACAACCAAAAATGATATCAAGTTGCATTTAGATAGCACTAATTATGGTTATTTAATCTAAGTATCTTTGATTAAAAATAAAACACTTTCGTGAAGAAAATGGTGGTTTAGAAAGTAAAATGGCACTCCCAAGAATTTGAAGTTTTATGAAAGTTCTATTAATGTCATGAATTTGACTGGGCACAGTGGCTCAAGCCTGTAATCCCAGCACTTTGGGAGGCCGAGGTGAAAGGATTGCCTAAGCTTAGGGATTCAAGACCAGCCTGGGCAACTTGGTGAGACTTCGTTTCTACAATAAATCAAAAAATAAGCCAGGCGTGGTAGCGCGCACGTGTAGTTCCAGTTACTTGGAAGGTTAAGGTGGAAGGATTTTCTGAACCCAGTAGGTTGAGGCTGTGGTGGCCGTGAACGTGCCACTGCACTCTAGCCTAGGCGACAGAGTAGGACTCCAACTCCAAAAAAAGAAAAATGACATCACAAATTCCTGGATGTCTGCCATGAACTCCCAGGTATCTTCAGTTAATGCCCGTTGGACCCCTTGGTTACTTTGCTCTGTGGAAAAGAACAGACAAGGCAAGCAACCTTTTCTTTGTCCAATTCTGCAATTTGTTTTTGGGATCTTTGTAAACAACCCTGCTATCTCCTTTTATGGTGGAAAAATGAAAGGAGGAAGTAACCTGCTCAGACTCAAACAGTGAGTCATAGACTAGAACCCACATAGGCCACCTCCCTATCCTGGACCCCTGCTGTTTCTATCACAGATATTCCAGTTATTGTTATATCTTCATAGAAACTCCAATTTCCACTTGCATACCGTTGAAAAGATAGGACTCAGATGTACCCTGGGATCTGTCATCCTCTAAGTGAGCCTATTAGTAAAAAACACCAGAAAATGTTGTTTAATCTTTTTGTGTCCCCTATCAGGCAGTCGGGCGCCCTGGGCTGCCAGGATCCTCCTTAGAACCCCACCTGGAAGCATCCCAGCATCTCCCAGTGCCCAAGCATCTACCCAGCTCCGGGGGAGCCGACGAACCCAGTGACCTTGAGGAACTGGAGAAGTTTGCCAAGACCTTCAAGCAGAGGCGCATTAAACTGGGCTTCACCCAGGTTAGGTGCTGGGAGAAGAGATGAAAGAAACTGAGTTGAGTCAGTAGAGATTGGGCTTACCAAGTGCAGGTCTCAAGAACAACCTGAAGCTTGATGTATTTGAGGCAGGTGTGTCATGTCCCCAAGTTCCCTGAGAATAGAGCCCCATTGCCATTGGTGGGGGAACCAAGGATATGGCTGGTGGGAGAGGAATGAGAGCCAGGAAAGGGACTGGTCTTGGGCATGGACATGGTCTGCTCCTCCAGGCGCATGGGCATGGTCTGCTCAGAGTCTAGGGAGAGAAATAAAGCAACTCTTCATCTCAGAGGGAGAAGACTTGGGGTCCAGGCCCTGGGTCGGTGCTTGAAGGTTCTGGCTGGATGTGTGATAGGTACTAGGGTGGTGGGGGGTGTGAGCAAAGAAGAGGAGGAGGCTGACTCTCACGTCTCCCCACCTTGGTCCCCGTGCACAGGGAGACGTGGGGCTGGCGATGGGAAAGCTATATGGCAACGACTTCAGCCAGACTACCATCTCACGGTTTGAGGCCCTCAACCTGAGCTTCAAGAACATGTGCAAGCTCAAGCCGCTGCTGGAGAAGTGGCTGAACGATGCAGGTAGGCCTCAGGCAACGAGGGCAGAGGAAGCCCTCAAGGGCTCTCTGTAGGGCAGGGGCTCTTGGGGATCGACCCCTAACACCCCTTTCTTCTCTTGAGTTTGGAGCCACCTGAGAAATAAGACACAGGAGCCAGGTGAGTGGAGATGAGAATGTCACCTTCATTACTGAGAAGGCCCTTTGGAGGACATGGCCTTAGACCTGTGTCCATGAAGACTTTACCCTGTTAATTCCTAGCCTAGCCTCGCCCAGTATAGACTTCAGGACTGCTTGCCAGAGACAAAGTTTGGTTCTTCGGAGCAGACATATTTGCCATCTGGAACAGGTCCAGGTCATGAAGACAGGGCAGTGGGCCCCCTAGGATCTCACTGGAAGAAAACCATAGGTATAATACAAAGTCGTTACCTGGCTATTCTTTCTTTTTTTTTTTTTTTCTTTTTTAGTCAGAGTCTCACTCTGTTTTCCAGGCTGGAATGCAGTGGCACAATCACAGCCTCAACCACCTAGGTTCAGGTGATCCTTCTGCTTCAGCCTCCTGAGTAGCTGAGACAACAGACACACTCCACCATGCCTGGCTAATTTTTTGATTTTTTTTTTTTTTTGTAGAGATGAGATCTCGCTTTATTACCCAGGCTGGTCTTGAATTCCTGGGTTCAAGCAATTCTCCCACCTTGGCCTCCCAAAATGCTGGGGTTATGGGCATGAGCTACTGTGCCTGGCCTACCTGGCTAATTCTTAGGTAGCTTTTCAGTGGGCAAGGAATTACTGCAATCCAGACTGGCCAGGAAAGGCTTCCAGCAGGAGTGGGGTTTGCAGGTGTGGTGACTGGAAGGTGTTCCAGGAGGTCAAGGGTATAAGCCAAGGGGCAGCACATTTGGAATAATGAGTAGAAGTGTTTGGTGTTAGGGAATAACATAGGATGGGGCTTCTCAACCTCAGCATTATGGACATTTTAGGCCAGATAATTCTTTTTGTGGGGAACTGGCTTATGTATCATAGGATGCTTAGCACCTTTCCAGGGCTCTACACACTAGATGTAGCACCCACCCTTAGATGAAACACCCCAAAATGTCTCTAGACATGGCCTATGTCCCCAGGGGGAAGGCCAGTGCAGAGTTGCCCCTGCTTGAGAAACACCGGCTAAGAGAGTTGAGCTCTCTTCAACAGATACATATGTGTAGATTAGTGGTGACTGAGGAGGGGGAGGAAAGAGTGGGTGGCCAGCCAGGGTGGGTTACCCTTGTGGAAGTTCTTCCACATGGAAGCATGAGAGGGGCCAATGTTGCTAAGCTGTCCCTTAGACAGCTTTTATTGAAGCACTGAAGTGACCGAAGCGATCAGAGGGTCTTAGAGTCTTTGGGAGAGGGTTTTGTAGACCATTTCTAGTGTGACCCTCCCCATCTGATGCCCGAATCCTCTCTAAAGGACATCCCTCCCAGGGATCACACAGCCTTAGCTCCAGCATTGTACTGATGAGGAAATGCCCCCAGCACCAACATTCTGTGAACTTCTGGCCCACAGTCTCATTTCGATTTACGTCCAGGTGTATCTGTAAAAAGCAGACTCATAGGAGCCCTGCCAGTACCCATTCACACCCACACATGCCACTGATATCTGGGCATCCCTGAACCATGACCGCAAACACTGGAGACACTGTCGTGAGAGTCATTGAGGACATTTACCCAAGGCAACAAGGGGAAGCAAGAGTTCTCTGTCTGTGCTGGGTTCCCGGCTGGGGGAGGAGGCTTGTCCTGAAAATGCCACCTCAGAACCCACGGGGAATGGTTGTTGGACTCCAAGTCTGTTAAAGCAGGACCTGCCCCAGCTGTTTGCCTTGTCCTCTGAGCCTCCTCTGCTCCTTTGTGTCCCGGCAGAGTCTTCTCCATCAGACCCCTCGGTGAGCACCCCCAACTCCTACCCCACCCTCAGTGAAGTATTTGGGAGGAAGAGGAAGAAACGGACCAGCATCGAGACCAACATCCGCCTGACTCTGGAGAAGAGGTTTCAAGATGTGAGCAGCTCTGGGTGGGACCGGGTGGCCCACCTCGCACAGGCAGGAGGGAAGGCACAGCTCGGGTCCCTCGGCCCCAGCCCCTCCTCACCTCACACCTGCCCTGGTCACGGTCAGAAAGCAGAAAACAAAGGCAGTCTCCCTCTCTAGGCACCCAGGTATTTGAGTGAAAGGCTGTGCTTCCTCTCAGGTTTCAGGAACTTCCTCCTCGCTGACCCTTCTTGCCCTGACATCTATTTAGGGCCCATTGTTTCTCTCACTGGGAGTTTTAAAGAATGAGATAAAGGGTCCCTGAAGACATGTTTTTTTGGTATCCATTTGAGTTAAAGGGAGCAAAGCCAGAGCATTGTATATACGTTATCTATTTTCCACGTGGCACATTTTGTATTTTTCAAATTAAAAATGTAATAAATGCTTGTTGTAAATATTTGAAAAGTACAGGGAAGTAGAAAGAAAAAAATAGTCTATCATCCAATGCCATCTGAATGCATTTCCTTCTGCACTTTTTTCCATCACCTTTAACTACTTGTGGTCATATTGTATACCTACTTTGGGTGTGTGTGTGTGTGTGAACTTGTAACAAAAGCACAATCTTGAGCCGTATGTGGAAACTGTGAGCCCTGTGGCAACTGAGAGAGAGAAGAGGGAGAAACAGGTATGGCTTAAATGGCTTCCTGTCAGGATCCCTTGGGTAACAACCTCCAGAACCTACATGGGGACCACACATCTCCCAAGGCCTCAGGGTTCCAGGACCTCTGACCTCCTGCAGATCCCCCAGTGCATCTGGCTCTAGGATTTGCTGGCCGCCTCCTCCTGGCAGGATGACAGGAACTGGTTTTTCCTTCTTTTTAGGTTTCTCAGAGTAGCAAGGTAAAGGGAGGGTGTAGGAATGGGGGGAAATGAGGAAGGATCAGAAGAAGGCAGTGATGACCATGTGTGGTATGTACAGCTATCCCACAGGCCTGATGTGTCTGCATGTTGCAGCTTCTTGTTTCCTGTTTGGAGGTAGGAGGACCGGAAGACTTGACAAAGGAGAAGGGTATCAGGCTATAAGCAGAGAACACAGAGGGGAGCGTAGTTCTGGGGACTCAACCTGCCCCCACCTAGCTGAACTTTTCTCCTCAGAACTCCTGAAGGAAGGAGTGGGAGAACAGATCCTACATGGATAGAGCTTCTACTCTGTGTCAGGCCCTGTGCTTGGCTGTTTGCACACATTTTCTCATTAATTCTCATAATAACCCTACATGGTAGGCATTATTCCTCCCATTTCATAGATGATAGGACTGAGGCTCAGAGAGGTTAAGACAGTTTCCTAAGGATACGTAGTAAGTGATCAAGCCAGTATTCAGCCCAAGTCTGACTCTAAAGCTTCTGATCCCCCATATTGTTCTACTCTGCTTCTTGGGAACATCTGTTTTCCCACCCCTACTTCCCTTTTCTTGACACACTGTGCTCTTCCGGTCCCCGCAGAACCCCAAACCCAGCTCAGAGGAGATCTCCATGATTGCAGAGCAGCTGTCCATGGAGAAGGAGGTGGTAAGGGTCTGGTTCTGCAACCGTCGCCAAAAGGAGAAGCGAATCAACTGCCCTGTGGCCACATCCATCAAATCACCCATCTACAATTCCCGACTGGTGAGTGAGCAGGAACTAAGCTGCCACCAAGTCCTAGGGAACATGATGCCTATCTGGAGGGCAGAGTATCCTCCATCCTGGGAAAAGTCGTAGCAAGGAGGAGGGTAGAGGGGAGTGTCCAGTAAATAAATAAGCAAATGGATACAGTATATAAAATATGAGAGGGAGCTGAAAAAGACTGGAATTATCTTTTGGAAGGCAGGCCCCTTGTAGCACAGGCTTTCTCTGCTTGGTGAGTGTTCTAGGATCCCATTGGCATCAGTGTTCTGGCTAGCGTTGTTGTGAGAGGCTGCATTTGGCTTCAGTGAATTTTTTTGGTAGATTCTTTCAACATATTTGCCCCATTTTATGAGGGGGTTATTTACAAGCATACCTGCCCACACCACGTTGAGTGTTCAGCAGTTTTTGACCCAAAACATCATGATTCCTGTGCCCCACCTCTCTACCCCATCTTGCCCTGAGCAATGGTTTTTTTGTTTGTTTCCCTGGATGAAAAAAGTCCTCAGAGGGAAACATTTTGCCAATGTGGAAGAGATGAAACAAAAAATGGAAGAAGCTCTAAAAGGCAGCAAAATTGATGAGTTCAAAAACCGTTTGGAGTGGTGGGAAAAGCGTCTTGATAGGTGTATTGCATCAGAGAATACTTTGAAGGTGACTGAAGTTTAAACATGTAAGAATAACTACAGGACTTTTTAATAAATGAATTCCAGATTTTTAGGGGTTTTCCCTCATATATGTAGTATAAAGATGACCAAAGAAGGGTAAGGGGATAGAAAGTGATCGTGAAGAGATGCAACTTTATAGGGAGATCAGAAAGGACCTCTCTGATAAGATGACATTTCAGCAGAGATCTAGAGTTGTAAGGAAATAAAATATGTGGATATCTGGGGAAAAGATCATTCCAAGCAGAGGGACCAGCACGTGAAAAGACCCAGCCTGAGTCAGGCTCGGTGGCTCAGCCTGTAATCCTGCGCTTTGGGAGGCCGAGGTAAGTGAATTGCCTGAGTCTGCGGGTTCGAGACCCGCCTGGGCAACTTGGTGAGACCTCATCTTTACAATAAATCAAAAAATTAGCCCGGTGTGGTAGCACGCACCTGTAGTTCCAGCTACTTGGAAGGCTGAGATGGAAGGATCACCAGAGCCCAGCAGGTCGAGGCTGCGGTGGCCGGGAGTGGCTACTGCACTCCAGTCTGGGTGACAGAGTGAGACTCCAACTCACAAAAAAAAAGAAAAGACTCAGTGTGTTTGGGAACAGCAAGGAAGCCAGTGTGGCCAGGGCAGAGTGAGAAGTAGGAGAGGAAGTCAGAGAGGTAACAGAACACCCAAGGTCTTGGATGTTATTGAAAGGGCCCTGGCTTTTAGCTTGAGTAAAATGAAAAGGCATTGGCAAACTCTAGGCAGAGAAGCCTGAGAAGTTTGCTGTGGGCAATCATCTGGGTGGAAGCAGGACACCAGCTAGTAGAATGGCAATTGTCAGGTTGTGTGGTAGAGGCGTGGCCTAGAATGGGTAGCCTTGGTGGAGAGGGGAAGTGGTTGCATTCTGGATATGCTTGACTATGGAGCAACAAGATGTCCCCAGATGTGGACTAGGAGAGATGAGGCAGAGATGACCACAAGGGTTTTGGTCTGAGCAACTGGGTGGAAGACACTGCCGTCTTTTGAGTTGATGACAACTGTGGGAAGAGTAGGTCTGAGGGAGAAAGCTAAGAATTTGGGGCCGGTTATATTAAGCTGGATATACCTATGAGGCATCTAAGAGGAAGTACCAAGGAGTTAGATATGTGACACTGGTGTTCAAGGAAGAAGCCAGGGCTGGGAATAAATTGGAGTTCTAGACAGACATGGAAGTTTGGGGAGTAGGAAATATGTTCTCCATCTAGGGAGAGATGGTACCTGGATGGTGAGGGTGGGAAGAATCTTCTCCATCTCTGGGGATGGTGATGGTTGAAGGCTAAAGGAGTTGGGGATGATGATGTCACCCTCGAGTCTTTCAGCACTCTAGGGTGGGTGAAATTCAGCCTTGTCAGGGTGAGACATAGCTGTTTCAAAAAACAACACCAGTGTTGATTCTTTCAGCAACCAGCTATCAACCATCTATTATTGGACTTATGCCCAGTGCTAGGGATACAAAGATAAATACTATTTGCTCCCAACCCCAGAGGACCTCACTGCCTAGCAGAGGAGAAGACAAATAAACAAATGATAAACAGCATGATCGTTTCTCCAGGAAAACTTCAGAAGGTGGTGGTTAGGGCGGGCTTCCCCAAGGAGATAATTAATACCTGAGCAGAGTCTCAAAGGACAAGAAGAGTGAGAGGCAAATAAATATGGGGTGGAGCTCTCACCAGGGGAAAGTAAGAGTACAGTGGTGCAGAGTAGGGAGAATGCATGGCACATTCACAGAACTGCAAGTGGTTCCCTGGAGAAGCATGTTGAAAGATGGGACTGGACAGATCAGCAAGGGTCAGACTGAAGGGACTGTGTGCAGTGCAAAGGGATGGAAGACTGGGGGAATCATGAAGGATTTTAACAGGGCATTGGGATGAGCAGATTTTCTTTTTCTTTTTTGAGTTGGGGTCTCATTCTACCACGTAGGCTACAGTGGCACGATGATGGCTCAGTGCAGTCTCAGCCTCCTGGGTTCAGTCTCCTGCCTCAGCCTCCAGAGTAGCTGGGACTACAGGTGTGGGCTACCATACCCAGCTAGTTTTTTATTTTTTGTAGAGATGGGGGTCTCACTATGTTGCCTAAATTGGTCTTGAACTCCTGGTCTCAAACAATACTCCTGCCTCAGCCTCCTAAAGTTACAGGTGTGAACAACCGTGCCCAGCCAGATTTGCTTTTTCAAAGGATCACTCTGACTGCAGGAGAAAGGATGGCAGATGGCTTGAGAGGTATGAGATTGGTTGCAGGGAGACCAGTTAGAATGTGACTATAGTTATCCAACAGAGAAAAAATGAGGGCAAAGCAAGCCCACGTGGTAAGAATGAGAGGATGGGAGGGGTTCAAGAGATAATTAGAAAGTCTTGGTTAATAAATTGAAAGTTGAGCACCTGCCAAGTTACCACAGAAGGCACTGGGGGTACAGCAGTAACCACACCGGCATTATCCTTTGCTCACAAAGTCTTTAGCCTGATGGGGGAGAAAAACATCAAATAAATAGGTGCATTCATACTTGTGATGTCATGCCAGAAGAAGAGAGAGAAAATGTCCCAAACCTGTCTTCTCAGGTCTCACTGGGACACACCCTTAGGACTAAGACAGTTTCTTCTGCCTCTGGTATGAAATGACTTTCAAGATAGTTCATTTAGGAGAAAAAGCAAAATGGTGCAGACCAGTGTGGACAGAATGCTATCACATATAAATATATATATATATATATATATATAAAGGGGGAACCATACATATATATATGTTTGCACATGCATAGCCTGTCTCCAGAAGGAAACAGAGGAAGCCGGTCACAGTGATTGTATTAGTATTTATTTTAAAACAACAACAAATGTCTTGGGTGTGGCAGGAAGGAGGGAGGAGAAGAAAAGGGAGGGAGATTGTTGATAAAGTCTCTTACCACTCCACCCCTCCCAAACTTCGCCCCACACCCATCTCCACCCTTCACAGGCCCCCAGCCTATGGAGGGGGCTCATTGTGTGAGGAAAGGTAAATGGGAGCTGGAGAACCATTGCTGATTAATGAGGAAATGAGTATATGCGGCATCCTGTCAGGGTGGGTTCTTCCAAATTGGGGAAGGGACGGATATCAAATCACAGGTGCCTGAGCAGAAATGCCTTTCAATTTCCTATGAAAACACTAGTCAGAGCATCCCCTGTAGCATGAGAAGAACAAGGGGGAGTGAAAGTATGCAGATTTTGGCTCGAAAGTAGTGTTGAATAACATCGAGTGATATACAGCCGATATATAGCCGTTGATGGCTTCTTCCGTCAGAAAGAAAGGGAACTAACACTCTTGGCCAGTTGTTGGGTTGGCAGATTTATGGACATTATCTCATTACTCATTAAAGTTAATTAAAAGAAAATATAAAGGAGGTATTGCTGCTTTTTTTTTTTTTTTTTTTTTTTTTTAAGTCAGAGTCTCTTTCACCCAGGCTGGAAGGCAGTGGCATAATCGTGGCTTGGTTCACCCAAAGCCTCAACCTCCTCAGCTCAGCCTCTCAAGCTGGGTCTACAGGCACAAACCACCATGCCCAACTACTTTTTTTTTTCTTTTTTTTCTTTTGTAAAGACAAGGTCTAGCTATGTTGCTGGTGTTGAACTCCTGGGCCTCGGCCTCCCAAAGTGCTGGGATTACAAGCGTGAGCCACTGCACCTGGCCTATTGCTGCTGTTTTGCAGATGAGAAAACCAAATCTCAGTTGGGCTTAGGCAACTTGCCCAAATTCACACCTATATTGAATGGTGGAGCCAAGTCTTATTCCTGGATCTGTTGGGCTCCAAAGTTCATTCTTTCTATTGCATTTGTTTTAGGTGGTTCTAGGACAGTAATAATGAGGAGGAAGTTCTTGAATTACATAGGAGTTCAAGCCAAATTTTCATGGGGTCCTTTTCTAATCTCAGAGTTGACGATGCTATGAGACCTCCAGGGCAAAATGAAAAGCTTCAGAAACCAAAGTTCACTCCCCTACTTATCTTTGGAGAGTCTGCAGTTCATTCATCCATTGGAGTGGGAAAGCCCAAACAGGGTTGCTACAGCTGGACACCCTACTGCCCTGAAAGAAAGCAGAGTTCTTTTAGGAATGAAGGAATAGGGACCAGAAAAGAGGCAGGTCATCAGCAGTATTTGCTACAGCAGGGCCCAGGAGGCTTGTTCTTCTCACCACTAGGATACTCAGGCAAGGCAGCCTTCCCCTGGCAGTGCCAAAGAAAACTTGCCAGGGAACAGATGGGAGGGGGTGGGGTGGTGCTTTGTGTCAGCACTAGAAAGCTTCTAGAACAGATGAGACCTGGAGCTGGATGACTGTACATGGTTCAGAGGCTTTCCTATAAAAAGGAGGATAGTGTGTAAGTTTGGGACTAGAAAATCATCAAAGAAGCCAAGCTCTGGTCTCTGCAGAGTCTGGGACCCAGTGTCTTTGGAGAAGAATCCAGGGTTGGAGAAGGGAGCAGGAATGGACATTTATAAGCTTCTGTTGTTTTTCAGGTCTCTCCTTCAGGGTCTCTGGGCCCTCTCTCCATCCCTCCTGTCCACAGCACTATGCCTGGAACAGGTGAGCTTTAAAATGAGATTTCCGAATAACACGAGAATTCCTTTAAATAATGGGCTATTAGAACTGAAAGGTACCTGAATGTATTTCAAAGATATTAAAATCTGTGCTGGGACAAAAAGGGTTCCGTTGTCAAATAAGTTTAGGAAATGCTGAGTAAGCAAAGTTTAAACAAGCATGTGTTTGTTTTTTGTTTTGTTTTCATTGCAGCATTTCTCAGCACTCAGGTGCATGGTTCATTCCAAAATGAGCTGAATGGGAGGCTGAAGGAAGGCAGGGCTATCCAAACTAATTTTCTACAGAACCCTGTGTTTCTAAAAGCCCCTATACATTTTGAATAACTAGATAGGGTGACTGTATGGCCATGTGTGTCCAGTGCAGTCCCAGCGTCTGGCTCATGTCCTGACTATTATCAATAGCACTACCTTCTACTTTTCAAGTGTCTTAGTTGGGATACATATGTTGCCCTTTCTCTAGAAAACAGTTTAGGGAACACAAGCACGAGAATTAATGTGCTTGTGTAAAATCTGCCTCTTGACAGATAATGGAAATGAGCCTCAGGAAAGTGAAACAAGTCAGCACAGGCCACAGAGTTGCGTAGTGGATGGCCTGGGACCGAGACAAGACTAAGGTTCCCTGACTCCTGGTTCAGTGCACATTCTTGAAGACCATGTGCCTTTTCTGTATGGAGACAGGAGAACTGAAGAGGCTGTCAGCCTTTAATTATGCTCTCAGGTTCTCTTTCCCCCTATGCACTTTTCTTTCTTTTTACTCCTCTCTTTCTTCTCTTTCTTGTTCTTCTTCCCCTCCTGCCTCTTGGTCTGGGGCTGCGTTTGCCAAGCTCAGGGTGTGTCCCGGAGTGGGATGGTTTTGGCATCTGTCCTTCCTGCGTTTGGCAAGTCTTGGACTTGCAGAACTAGCTGCGCCACTCTCTAGGGCTTGGGCTGCAGAGAGCATTTGTGATGAGAGCCCCTGTGGGGATGGCAGAAGTTGATGCTAAAGTGGGAGGAGGTGATAAGGGCGTGGCAAGGGAGAGGCTGAGGACTCTTTGGGGATACAACAAGAAGTCAAGGGTCTGAGGGGCTATGTCACAAGGTCCTAGGACCCAGCAATATTTTCCCCTTATTTTTACCTCTCTTTGTCCTCAGTAACATCATCGTGTTCCCCTGGGAACAACAGCAGGCCTTCATCTCCTGGTTCAGGACTCCATGCCAGCAGCCCCACTGCATCTCAAAATAACTCCAAAGTGGCAGTGAACTCCTCCTCCAGCTTTAACTCTTCAGGGTAAGATGGAGGGATGAGTGCAGAGACATCCCAGCAGGGCCAAGGATGTGTAAAAAGTTGGGTCAATGCCTTGGGAAAGAAAGTATGTCACAGGGGTGGAAAAGGGGACTGGAGTAGCAGGGAGAGAACAGAGTAGAAAGCCAGACTGGACTTTATCCCCAGGGAGTGGAAGCTTAAAAAAGAATCTTCAGCCTGTGAGCAGTCCTGGCAAGAAGCTGATGTCAACAAAACCAAAATTTCCATCCTCACTTTGAGGGTGGAAATTTCCAGACTCTCCTGTTCAAAGGGGCTGGATCATTCGCTGGGCTTAGGAACACTCCACTTCATGCCAGGAACCCAGTTCTCAGGAGGTTCTGATGTGATCCTAGAGCTTAGGCACAAAGAAAACCCTGGGCTTCAGAGTGGCTGATAGGGAGAGAAGGAAGGGGTGCTGAGTCCTACCCCACACTGCTACCCAGGATGTGGCAGGGGAGAGTAGCCTCCTGGGCCTTAGTTCATGAATCAAAGAATCTACTAAAAAAGTATTCTCAGAGTTGATCCTTGAGAGATGCATTCTGCTCTGGTTCAGAACAAAACAGAGATTTGAAAGTTAGGCAATAGGTCACAGACATGAGCTTGTTGGAAGAGATGAATCCACTTGTCCAAATCCAGGCAGTTCAGCAATGAAGCCATCTGTCATTGGCCAATTATTGCAGGGCTCAAAAAGTTGGAGCTCCTCACTTACCCCCACTGAGGGAGGTGCTGGAGGAGAGAACTGTATAGTATAAATTCATAGCCTTAAAACATTGTTTTGAGATCTTATTCACATACTATGAAATTTACCATTTTAAGTATAGGATTCAGTGATTTTTAAAAATGTACTCACAAGGTTGCGCAACCATCCCCTTTATCTGATTCTGGAACATTTTTATCACCTCAAAAAGAACCCCTATACCTGTTAGCAGTCACTCCCTGTGTCCATCTTCCCCCATCACATTAGTAGCTTTATGATTGACTTCTTTCTTCCTTCCAGATCTTGGTACCGATGGAATCATCCCACCTACCTCCACTGAGACCAAAAAGTTTCTACTACTCCACCTGGCCCTGCATTCCCCACCGGAAGGAAGGGAGTTATGCCTTCTCTGTGTGGACAGATTACTTTCAGAAGAGTGGAAGAAAATCCCCACTATGAATGAACCCAGACTCCTGCCTTCTTCAGGAGCAAGGACCTCTGGAGATCCAAACTGTGATTGAAACGTGTGCTGACTCCTAATGCTCTTGAAATATATCACCCCTCCGAGGAGTTTACCATTTCCACCTTCCTTGCCTGTGCCCTTACCTTCTAGTTCCAAATATTTTAGACAGCTTCACTGTGGCAATAGTCTTTCAGAGAAAGGACTTTTTGCAATTATTCTCCAACTCACCTATGGGATTCTGGGGACAGCCATTTGGCTGGCATGTCAAACTACCAGAAAGGGAGATAATGGTTTTAACTCTGAACTTAGCCACAATTCCTGAACTTGATCCTCAAATCTGTGAAAAGATTTGACTCTAATATCTCCGCCAAAGCCTTGATGTTTTCTCTGTTCAGCAGAGTTGTCCGACTGAATCTTCATTTTACCTCATTTTCTTCTTAACCTTGTCCCCTTTTCTACAACCAGATCCATTAATTACTGCAGACTCCAGGTTCCATCCTGTGACTCCCTCGGTCCCCTGGGCATGTTGTTCTGCCCACCGGAGCATTTCTGTCTGCTCACATCCGTGCAGAGTTCAGGAATACTTGTTCCTTCTCTCCCTCCCTATGTTTCTCCTTAGCCTGTCCTCTCTCCTCTGCCCTGGCTGCAGAAAAGGAGGAACCCAAGAGCAAACACACAACAATTATGCTGGCAAAATATCTGTAGATAGCCCTTTCCTATTTTTGCATTGTGTTCTTTTCTCCTTCATGTGGAATTTTCCAGCAAAATGTTTAACTCAGGTGTGAATTTTGAAGATGTCTCTGTAATATTTTATCTTCTTAAAAAAAAGAAAAAAGAAAAAATACCAAAGTGTGAGATACTGTACTAGTCTCCACAGAGTTCCCACATGGGCTGGGAATCTTTGTTGACTTCTTTGGGAACATTATCTCTAGAGTCTTCTCCTTTGTGGGCCAGTGCGTAGAGATACAACATGAAACCAGAAATGGTAACTTTTTTTTTAAAAGACTTCATATCCAGGAAACTGTTGAGATTCAAAGGAATCTCTGTTCCTAAATAAATGTATATAGTGATTATGAAAAGTATTCCACTGCTGATAGGAAGAGGTTTAGATGATTGTTCTGTGCCTTTTTGTTGTGGAGGGGGAGATATGAGTATATATAATCCAATGGGGTGGGAAAAAATATTTCAGACTGGAACATTAAGTGTATTACTCCCCAGACTGATGCTAACGGTGACATACGTTAATACAGGGCCCTGAGGAATTCAGAGTTGTTACTCTTTAAAACCTTGAGGGCAGAGTAGGTAGGAGATTGGTTTCTTCATTTTGTAAGTGGGAGGGTGGTGACTCTTTTAAGTTGAAGTCATTCCGAGACTTAGGAGGTGGAGGCTGAAGCTAATATCTCAAGTCTCAGATAACCTGAACGTCAATTATTCATTATTCACAATGGAAAGCAATAGATATTTAAGGCAAACAATCATTTAATAATCATATATATTTGGCTTTGGAATGTGTTGCAACTTCAGGCAAGAAGGTTGAAGGAAAGGGAAGCTATCTTTGTGGTTTTCCTAGGTTAATACAAATCAAAATAGTTGTCATCGACCTAAAAGGGAGGCCCTTTACAATGTAATGACTGATGAGCAAAACCTAAAATTGGGATTAAACATTTGTTGCAAATAATAATATCCACATGGGAACTCTTGATGTTTGAATGGGCTTTTTTGGTTTTGTTTTTTTTTTTTGAGTTGGAGTCTCACTCTGTCATCCGTGCTGGAGTGCAGTGGCACACTCACAGCCACCCCAGCGTCGACCTGCTGGGCTCCAGCGATCCTTCCGCCTCAGCCTTCCAAGTAGCCAGAACTACAGGCACATGCTATCACGCCCAGTTAATTTTTGATTTATTGTAGAGACGAGGTCTTACCAAGTTGCTGGTCTTGAACCCACAGGCTCAGGCAATCCACCCCAGCCTCCCAAAGTGCTGGGATTACAGGCTGAGCCACCAAGCCCGGCCTAAATGGGTTTTTTAAGACTCTTGTTTTATGTCATGAAGAAGGAGAAGTCCTATTGGTAGTGGTTACTTTTTCAAGAAAAGATCTAGCTAAAGGGGCTAGATATGTAGAAAAGAGACGGCAAGAGGAGCCTTCAGCAGTAATTTAAATATACAGGAGCACCACTTCGCCCCACCATGAGCCCATTTGTGCATATCTCTGCATACTTGCTTGTGCATGTGTGCATTCCTCCTTGTATATGCGTGGATGGTAGAGCTGACCCTTTCCTGCCGCAGTCCCGACTAGCTTGACAACCTGCTCAGGTGAGTGCTGAAAAGTGATCCCCTGTACTGTCTAAAACCCTAAAATGTTTTCATCCATTTGCCTGTGATTTTTATGACAGAAATAAACAGAATTGTAGCCTCACTGTTCAGCCTCCAGTAGCTTCCCTTGGCCACTAACTTGGGCAGTTGCTAAAAAAAGTCGGATCTGAAAGTGAGCACAGATTCACTTTGCATGTCTGCACTATTCTGTAAAACCAAGAATTCCAGGGAAGTTTAACAGAAGCATGATTAGCTTCTTCAGCATCTGATTAGGGACAAAAGAATCTAAGGGTGACAACCAGTCATTGGTGAGGGGGAAAGAAAAATAAAAGATTGTCGCTGCAGCTTTTCAAATTTTATTTCATGCTCTGATGCTTAGTTGACTTCAGATGGATGGGCCCAGTTGCGGGCTCTTAGAACTTTTGGTCTGATTCAGAGAATGGTTTATTAAACACAGGATTCAAGTGAGGAACCCTGCCCTGAGCCCCCAGGTTTCTGGGTCCATGTGCATGCTGCATGCCCCAGTCACAGCTCACTTACTCTTCTGCCTCTCCCCTGCTGGGGAACTTTCTTGCAAGTGAGCTTGTCTTTTTTTTCCTTCTGTATCTCTGTGCCTAATATGATTAGCACATAATAGGCAATTAAGATTTTTTAAAATAAAATTCCCCTTTTCCCCCTCTAAACAACTTCTAATGCCCTTCACTGAGGTAGGAGCTGTGAATACAGGGCAATACAGTACACACTTGTGGGAAATTCTAACCAAGTGTAGGCAGCATGTCTCAGTGGTTAAGGGCATGACTTCCAGACTCATATTGCTTCAGTTTGTACCCAACTCGGCCTCCTACTAATTGTATCATCTTGACTGCTCTGTGCCTCAGTTTCTCACCTGTAAAATGGGCATAACAATAGGTACCATCCCACAGAGTTGTGAGGATTAAATGAGTCTATATAAAGTGCTTGGAACAATGCCTGGTACATTAATAAAGGCAATATAGGTGTTATATGTTTTTGTTACTGTCACTGTTATTAAAGTAAATTGGTGGGGAGCTTCCTGTCCCCTGCTTTCCCTAGCATCCAACTTTTCTGGGAAAGCCACTGTTGACAAAGATCTGATGTGGTGGACCAGGGATTGTGGCCAGAGATATATGCATTAATAAAACTTAATCCCAGGCAATTAAGCTTGAACCTGGAATCCCAATCGCCCTGGGATAAAGACCCAATATCCTAGAGAGAACTGGCACCTTCCCTTATTCCCTTAGACTTTAGACTCCTGGAACATTTAATGTTCTTTTCTTTCATGGGAAATGATGGCAGCAAAAAGAAAGTCCCAGATTCAGGTACTAGAAGGGGGAAAAAAACCCACAAATGAATGGGAGAAATGTTGGGATTTGCATACTCTCCATCTAGTGAAATGGATTCCTCCATGTTTTCTTTCCTGAAACTGTCATAACCTCTTATCTGATGTATCTCAACACTCTTAACTAATCTCCAATTTATCCTATAATGGTTTAAATTGTCCATAGAGTTGGGATTCTCAACTTTGCATATTCAAATCACCAGGGGAGCTTTAAAAATGATTTATATCCACCAGAGATTCCAATTTACTTTGGGGTGCCTGGGCACTGGGATTTCAAAAAGCTCCTAAAATGGTTCTACTGAGCTATCAAGGTTAAGAAACCACTGCCCACTCGCATATACCAATCACTGGGGGGACCTTGTTAAAATGCAGATTCTGGTTTAGAAGGTCCAGAGTTAAGAGTCTGAGACTCTGTGTTTGTAACACACTTCCAGGGGATGCAGATTTTGCTGGTCCATGTATCACACTTTGAGTAGCAATGACTTGGAGAGCATGATAATGAGATTTCCTTGCTCAGTAACATCATGGGCTTCCTCTTATCCACATAATAAGACACTTCCGCCTGGTGTCTTAGCATTTAACACTGCTAACAGCAGTGGTTCTCAAATCTGTCTGATTGTCTGATGATTGGTTCCAGGGCAGGTTTTAAAATGCAGATTCTAGGTCCTACACAAGACCTACTCAATCACAATATTCAAGGGGCAACCTGCACAAGGGTATTTTGAAAACACTTCCTATGTAGTATAGATGATCAACAAGCTTTAGGAACTGCAATATGCTTCTAATATAGTTTTCCAGGCTCATTTCCCATTATTTCAACCAACAAACCTGTCCCATACTAGGTACTAGGGAAACAGATGAAAACAGTGCCATCCTTACATTGAGAGTCTGGCAAGATAAATAACAAGAACTAGAATATTCAGACATAGTCTAAGCATTCACACTTCTGCTAAAGGTCTCTTTTTAAGAACGTTTAGGTCCCTCAGCACCCCCTCATTTTCTGTCCTGATCAATCAAGTCAGACACCTTCTTTGTCCCATTTACGCTTTCATATTTATCTCTTCAAACTTACTCTGCTTGGTTATTGAAATAGATCCAGAAACGAGAAAGGATTTACCCAAAGGGAAATAAAACAATAGTGACATTTATGTAGTGACTGCCATGTGCCAGCCATTGTTCTAAGCACTTTACATATGCAATCTTTTAAAAAATCTCAAAATAACCTTAGGAGAAAGGTATTACTATCCCCATTCCGAGGACCAGGAAAGGGAGGCACAGAAAAGTTTGGTAACTTGCCCAAAGGCATACCAAGCAAAGTTTTACCTATTTGGTTTTTTTGAGTTGGAGTCTCACTCTGTCTCCCAGGCTGGAGTGCAGTAGCACACTCACTACCACCGCAGCCTCGACCTGCTGGGCTCAGGCGATTCTTCCATCTCAGCCTTCCAAGTAGCTGGAACTATAGGCATGCGCCGCCACGCCCGACTACTTTTTTGATTTTTATTGTGGAGATGAGGTCTCACCAAGTTGCCCAGGCTGGTCTTGAGCCCGTGGACTCAGGCAATCCTCTCACCTCGGCCTCCCAAAGTGCTGGGATTATAGGCGTGAGCCACTGCGCCTGACCTAAAGTTTACCCTTAAGCTTGATGTCCAGTTTGTGACAGGGTTGAAATTAGAATACTGTAACTTCTCATTCTCAGGCTTGTGCACCTTCCTGGTTCTGCCATTTGTGTGCTTGTTTCACAACTTAAAGTCAACCGTGAGGGCAAGGACGATGTCTTGCATCTACCACAGTGCCTGGCAAGGTGCGAGCACTTAGTGGGTGCTCGATAAATGCTTATTGGACGGGTTGTCCCATCGTGGGGAGGGGAGGAACGGATAATGATGTGAACAGATAACAACAGATAAACAAGAGCCACGGCCTGCAGGTCTCACGTCACCACTAGATCCCCCTGGCCCCCCCTTCCCTGCCAGAAGAAGGAGGACCCTCTGGCTCGCTTTCTGAACGGCCATCGCCAGCTCCAGCTCGGCCCGGCTCCGGCTCTGCGCTCTGTCCTCCCCGCCAGCAGGTGCCCCCAGACCCCCGGCTCCTCCTCTGCAGCCGTCACAGCCTCGGCCTCTCCCCCTCGCCCCGCCGCTTCCTGTTGCCGCGATCCGGGCGCTGAGCTGCGGGCGCCCGGGCGCCCGAGGCTTCCCGGTGCGCTCCGCCAGGTAACAGCGCTGCGCGGATCGGCGGCCGCGGTGGCCCCGGGCCCGCCCGGCCCACTGGTGGGGATCGAGGTGGGCAGGTGGCGCGGCCTGGCCTCTGAGTGGGGGTGGGGCGCCTCCTGCCTCCGGGCGCCCGAGGCCTTTCCGCGCCGGCTGCGGGCGCCGGGCGGGATGCCGGGGTGACGGTCTGCCGAGCTCCGGGCTCGCGAGCCGCTGTGGCCGGCCGTCGTAGGCACGCCCGTGCGGCGATGCGATCGCGGCCCCGCGGGGCGCGGGAGGCGGCCGCCGGTCGCCAGCCACGCCTGCTCCGGGGCCGCGAGCCAGCCAGGCCCGCCCCGCGCTCCTCCTCGCTTGCCGGCCCTGGGACGGGAGAAGCCGGGACAGGCGTCTTGGACGCTTGAGCCGCAGTGGCCTTCTAAAGAACCTTGCGGTCCGTGACAACACCAAGAGCAAAAAGCCGAAACCCAGGCATGGAGTTGCCAAGGTCACAGAGTTGCATCTGCCATTTACAAATGTCTGTTCTTTTATTTGAGTGTTTGTAAATGGGCTACTGTTTCCTCTGTTCTGCCAGGGAATTAGGATTCAGAGAAGAGGACTCTAAAAATACTAATCGGCGTATCCAAATGAGCTGATCCGCATTACGGGCCAGTGACCCTGGCCTTTAAAGGAAAGAAGGGAGAACGGTTCTTTTCACTCTAGGTACTTTGTATTTCTGACCCTTTGTCTGAAAATTGGCCTAGGTGTTTTACAAAATTTATCTCAGAACTCCATCTCATAACCGGACCCGATTATAGAGTTCTTCAATCCTTTTAAAAAATTTATTTCCTTCCTCCCTCCCTCCCTTCCCTCTCTCTCTCTCTCTCTCTCTCTTTTTTTTTTTTTTGTTTCTTTTCTCCTGAGGCTCTAGAGGTTAAAGTGATTTGCCCACACTCTTATGGCTAGTTAGGGGTAGAGACAGACTTACGACTTAGGTCTATTATGGACACCTACTGTTTTCTAGAATGGAAATCTAATTTCAGGTGAAAGCTGTACAGAACTTGACCTTCATAAAGCCCTCTCTGGATAGCATTCTTGGGAGTGGCTTGTGTATTGAAGTGTGTTGGTCCACAGATTCTATTTCACTTGTCAGAAATAGGTTTAAGCAATAAGTGTAGCCATGCATAAAATTCCTGCTGCGATGAGGCAGATATCTGAAATGTTTTTGACTTTTTTATTTGTACTTTCAATAGTGGAGCTAGTAAATATTAACAATATCTCAGTCATTTTTATTTCTGTATGACTAAATTGACTCAGTTATAGTTGTTCTTGTCCAAATGTGTGTCACCAGGAAAAGTTTCCAGATATAGTTTTTTTACTTTGTTACATTTTTTACTGAATAATTGCCTTAAAGATATTTTTAAATCTCAACAAAGACTCTCCTCTTGTATTTTGGAATATTTCTGCTTCACTCTCAGTAAATCTTTGAGTTGGATTTCAGAACTGAATAGAACTAGGATTTTTTTTTTAACACTTCCAAGATGTCTATACTCTATTTAGTTCTATATTTAGGTTTACCCCAAGTTTTGATTTTGACTGATAAACCTGTGACCCAAATTCAAACCTCAGCTGAATTTGGTATCAACTTGAAACCACATGGAACAGCCATGTCATGTGACCTCTAGCAGAAACCAAAGTGGTACTGTTCAGTTTTTTCATGAGAACTTCTCATTGGGAGATCTTTGAAATGTGAGGAAATTAACAAATACATGTGCTTTATTATCTGTGTATTACTGCTTACGGTCAGTCTTCGTCGGAGGGTTATTACTGAAATCCCCTCCTCATCAAATGTGATGTTAGACAGCCTCCCAACTCAGAATGCAGTTCATGGTTTCTAGTTTATAGCTTTCATCAGTCGCCCGCGTACTATCTAAGAATATAGAGTTATAAATAAAGCCATACTTAAATGCAAGGTTCTTAGCTATGTAGATAAGAAGTATGTTAGTAAAGCAATGCTTTTGTGCTATTCTACAATAGAAATGAGGACAATTACACAAAATGACCCACTGCTGTTTGCTTAGGGTGCATCCTTTGTTTTTCTGGTTTTGGTCTTTTCACCATAGGATGGCATTAGCTCTGTGTCTGCAGGTGCTGTGCAGCCTGTGTGGCTGGCTCTCGCTCTATATTTCTTTCTGCCGCCTGAATAAGCACCGAAGCTATGAGTGGAGCTGCCGGCTGGTTACCTTCACCCATGGAGTCCTCTCTATAGGCCTCTCAGCTTATATTGGCTTCATTGATGGCCCATGGCCTTTTACCCACCCAGGTAGGTAGGGGATTTTCCCTTAGGGATTTATGACTTGGGGGTAGTCTTAGAAGGATGGAACTTTTAAACAGAACTTGTACAAGATTGAAGAATCATTCCCACTATAATTTGTATTTATTTATTTTTTATTTTTTGAGTTGGAGTCTTACTCTGTCGCCCAGACTGGAGTGCAGTGGCACGCTCCTGGCCACCGCAGCCTCGACCTGCTGGGCTCTGGCGATCCTTCCGCCTCAGCCTTCCAAGTAGCTGGAACTACAGGCATGCGCTACCACACCCGGCTAATTTTTTGATTTATTGTAGAGATGAGGTCTCGCCAAGCTGCCCAGGTGGGTCTCGAACCTGCGGGCTCAGGCAATCCACTCACCTCAGCCTCCCAAAGTATGGGATTACAGGCTGAGCCACTGAGCCCGGCTTCCCACTGTAATTTGCATTGGAGTCCTCATTCTTCTTTATTGTTAACTCTCTGGTATTGTATATGTCACCTGTTGTTTCTGCTTTTCATGACTCTTTACCTTTAAGACACATTTTTAAATTGCTGGTTATAATGCAATCAATCAGAAATGTGAAAAAAAATAAAGCCAATATTAACATCTTCCATTACCACCCCCGAACAGACCCAAGCAGAACTGTATTATATGTATTTTTTGATGACTTGCAGTTTTTGCTGGATTATATATTCAAAGAATATCATATTTCCATGTGTATGTAAAAAGGATACGATATTCCTTATCCCTTTTGATTGTTATTAGATGTACAAGTGTGAATTCCTTAAGTATATAAAAATTGTACCCCCTTGTGTTAGCTGCTGTAACAAAATATCACAAGCTCTGTGGCATAAACAACAGAAACTTATTATCTCACAACTCTGGAGGCTTGAAGTCCAAGATCAAGTTGTTGGCAGGTTCAGTTTCTTCTGAGGCCTCTACTCTTGGCTTGCAGATGGCTGCCCTCCCACTGTGTCCTCACATGTCACCCCTGTGTTTGTATATGTATGTCTGTGTCCCAATTTCCTCTTTTTTTTAAGGAAACCAGTCTTATTGGATTAGGACCCACCCCTAAAAAACAACCCCATTTTAATTTAATCATCTCTAAGGCCATTTTTCCATATATACTCATATTTGGAGGTATGTGTGGTTAGGGTTTCAACATATGAATTTTTGAGGGACACAGTTAAGTCCATAACTTCCCTGGAATATGATTTTTAAAAAAGTATTTCCTTAGATTCCCATATTGAGCTTCTGCATTGTCCCCAAAGTTGTCAAACTGAGATGAAAGTAACTCTTAAGCTTTGTGTTCTACATGAAGTTTCTTTTATTTATTTATTTTTATTTCAAATATGTGGGGTACAATTCAGATTTACTATACAAATGGTCATTGTACAAGTACAAACCACTTCACCTGGTTTGAGATCAGGTTCCCTTATTGATGTTATGTGTACCCCCCTTCCCCTGGCAGTGTACATGAAGGTTCTCAATGGTTTTAAACATGTCAAGTCTTTCAACCTATGTTCTTGGATATAGGAACACACTAACTTTTAGGGTTCTTTCCAGAGTCTACTTTCAGGATGGGCAACCAGTGTGCAATATACTAACTCATTAAGCTAAGAAATTAATCTGACATTAAGGACAGAATGGCTTAAGAGCATGGAAACAGACCTTTAGCTGGCTAAAAAGAAAGTTTTGGATTTTAATTGAAAGAACAAAACAATTTGATTTTATGCTGTTCCGTAGAGATACTGAGATTATTGCCTATGTTCATTGAAGGGTACAGACTCATTGAAGTCTGATTCATCAAAACAGCATTTCCTGGGGCCTGAACATCATGTGGTTTGATAAAGACCAAGATTTTAGACTTTAGTATTTCTTTGGTCATCACTAAAAACCATGCGGCTGTCATTGTTTTTGTTTTCTTCAGTGATTCAGTAAGGTTTGAAAGACAATATAGGGTCTCTATACAAGGCAGCATAATCCCCAGTCACTCAATTTTCTTCTGTCTTGTTTATTTCAGGCTCACCTAATACACCTCTCCAAGTTTACGTTCTGTGTCTCACCTTGGGCTACTTCATCTTCGACTTGGGCTGGTGCATCTACTTTCGGTCTGAGGGTGCCCTGATGCTGGCTCACCACACATTGAGTATTCTCGGCATTATCATGGCCCTGGTGCTTGGGGAGTCAGGCACAGAGGTCAATGCAGTCCTCTTTGGAAGTGAGCTTACCAACCCCTTGCTACAGATGCGCTGGTTTCTCCGAGAAACAGGGCACTATCACAGTTTCACTGGAGATGTAGTGGACTTCCTCTTTGTGGCTCTGTTCACTGGAGTGAGGATTGGTGTGGGAGCGCGCCTTCTTTTCTGTGAAATGGTCTCACCCACGCCCAAGTGGTTTGTGAAGGTTGGGGGAGTGGCGATGTATGCTGTGTCTTGGTGTTTTATGTTCAGCATCTGGCGCTTTGCGTGGAGGAAGAGCATCAAGAAGTATCATGCTTGGAGAAGCAGGCGGAGTGAGGAGCGGCAGCTAAAACATAATGGACATCTCAAAACACACTAGCCAAGGCTGGCTCCAGATAACGGATCGGGTTAAGTCAGCCATGGGAACCAGGCTGGATAGATGGTTGTTATGGAGTTATGTGTATAACAAACTTAGCTTTCAAAAAAAGGGCTAAACTTATTGATCAATTTGGTCAGTCTTTAAGCCAAGTGTATACCAGTATTCAACACTAACTTGTGTAGTGGCACAGTTGTAGAAGGTGAGACTTCTCAGTGGTAGTGGGGAATAAGTCAGAACTGTGAAGTGAGTACTCCTGGCACCTGTTTTCATGTGTAGTAACCTGAGTCCTCTTGTCCCTGGGAGGTTCGATATTCAGACAGCTTAGAAAGGAACTCAAAAAAGATTAGTGCTATTTTTTTTCCTTTGAAAAGCAACTCCTTCAACAGACACTTATTCCTGCTTTCTTCATAGCAATTTATGTAAGTTCATCCCATTTACTATAAAGTGAGGGACTTTCAGGAAGAGACATGCTTTTGGCATTCTGAACATTGAATCAGGGCATTGGATCTGTTTAAACAAAGGGGATAGAAGAGTGGGAGTGAAACTATGGCAGTGGTGGGGAGTTAGTTACTGAACCTCCCTTTACCAACTGTCAGGTGTCCCCAAGACCACCACTAGGTTTCATGATTCTCTAGGAGGACTCAGCATATAGTCTTACTCCTAGTTTTGACTTACTATAGTGAAAGGGCATAAAGCAAAATCAGCAAAAGGGAAAGACACCTGGGACAAAGTCCAGGAGACATTAGGCACAAGCTTCCAGAGTCCTCTCCCAGTGGGATCATGCAGGATGTGCTTAGTTCCTCTAGCAGTGACGTGTAGTAACATGTGAATTGGTTGTCTACTGGGGAAGGTCGTTACAGACTCAGTGCCCAAGGTTTTTATTGGGGACAGGTTGGTATAGGCAGCCCCTGCCTGGCAGATAACAAAATTCAAGACTCCCAAAAGGAAAGCAGTGTTTGGCATAAACTGCATTATTTGTACAAACAGTTTAGGCACAGAAAGCCAGTCCTATCAGTTAATGGCAGGAGCCCTCCCAAAATCTAAGTCCCCAGATGCCGGCCAAGGGCCAAGCTTAAATCAGGCCTTTCCAAGGACAGCAGTTCAGGCCTGCTATGTTAACTCTTTTCTGCACAAAAACCATGGAGCTAGGGTTTTGGATTCGAGATAAATGAGGTGTGGGTAGATTTACCGAGTCCTGTTATACGGGTTCTGCCCTACCAGGAAAACTATGCCAGTTCTCAGGGCTTTTGTGCATTAATCTCCTAGGCATTTGAGGCTACGACTAAATTCCATAGGGATTTACCATGTGGATTCCACTGTGCTTGAGATGGCAGTTCAGATTTCAGCTCTGCTGTACATATTGCAAACTAGAACCAAAGACTTTAAAGTGTGTACTGGCCTCAGGGTGATGAGGCTAATTTGTTTATTTTTCATTTCAGGTACATTCCCTTTAAGCACTCTTACTACTTTTACTTCTTTTAGAAAGATACCACTCTGTGGACAAACTAATATGACAAGGCTAGTCTTGGGGAAGAGAAATATTTCTTAGTGCGATAGTCTCTAGGAGAAGCAAGAATATAAGCTTAGAATAAGGCGTTAAGAAACAAGCATTTCTGGGTTCTTTTAGATAATTTTGCTCTTCACTTGCCAGATCATTTGGGCATGTTATTTGTCTCAGTTTAAACCTGTCGTGAATAAGTGAAATACCCTGTTTGGGTGTTTCATAGAGACATGTGGCATTTTATTAATGGAGATATTTAATGTAGGGCTTTTATGAAAAAAATGAAGTATTATTTATTTATGTATTTATTGTTTATTTATTACTACCATGTTATTTAGATCAGTGGTGATTGAGTAGCTCAGTTGCTGAGCAAGTATATGGTGCTACTGAAGTCAAGTCTGAAGGTCAATAGAAAGTATCAACCCATTCTATGGCCGCTGGTAACACCCAACGAGAAGTGGTCTTGAAAATGGATGTCATTGGCCACAAAAACCAGACATGAAGGAATGGTTGGAACAGTGTAAAGTCATCTCTGCTAATGGAAAATTATCTTTATTTATTTATTTATTTTGAGCTAGAGTCTCACTCAGTTGTCCAGACTGGAGTGCAGTGGCCACTCCTGGCCACCGCAGCTTTGACCTGCTGGGCTTCGGCCATCCTTCTGCCCCAGCCTTCCAAGTAGCTGGAACTACAGGTGCGCACTACCACGCCTGGCTAATTTTTTTTATTTATTTATTGTAGAGATGAGGTCTCGCCAAGTTGCCCAGGCGGGTCTCAAACCCGCGGGCTCAGGCGATTCACTCACCTCGGCCTCGGCGTGGGATTACAGGCTGAGCCACCGATCCCGGCGAGAATCATGTTTAATGACAGGTTAACAGCAGGTCTTTTAAACTGATTTTAATATCATTTGATTAGAGAGTTTTGCTGGGCATTGAATAATCTGACAGATAGTATCTTCATCTCTTTTTTTTCCCCTATGATCAGTGTCCCTAAAATGCTGGTGAGCTTCTTTCCAACAAAATTGTGGTCAAAGTAGGATGCTGGGGAATGCTGATTTTAGCAAAAGCCTAGTAGAAAAGAGTGGCTTGGCACATTAGCTTAAAAAAAAAAAAAGAAAGAAAAAGCTGGCTCTTGAATTTTGGCACAGTGCAACCTGTTCCATACCAGACAAATGAATAGACTTAAGCTGGTACCAATTCTTTTCTCCCTTACCCCTCAGAAGTGAAGGGATAGCAGATCTGCTGTTTTGGGGCCACTCTCATGGGAATGTATGTAGTAGGTTTTTTTGAATGATGGGAAACCTGAGTAATGAATAAGGGAAGGGAATCCCTCATTTCAGCTTTCCTTGATGTTGTAACTAATAAGTATGAAGAAACCTCTGAGGAAAATGTGAACTGAAGATGACTCAGCAGTTAAGATGTTGAGTTTTGGCACCACAGGTAAATGAAGGGCTAATGAATGTGTGGTATGCTTGGACAAAATGAAGTACTCATTTGCATTTGGATTACTATGTAATAATAACTAACACTGTTCGGGAAGGACTTATATTTCAATAAGATTTGTACTAAATTTTATAAAAGTAAAACAACTCTTTATAAATCCAGCGTCTGCCTTTATTTCTTTGTTGTGATTTTGTTAAGAAAAAAAGTTTTTTAAAGCCTTTTGACTTGTAGAAATGTTGCCCCATATTCATACTTACTGGTGAGATAGCTCTAATCTCCTGTTTATCATGTCACTCCTGCTATTTTTTTTTTATTTTGGGGGTAACAATTGACATACAGAAAAGTTTGCCAAAAGAGAGATGAAGAACTTAATTTTTTTCTTGTTCTGCCACCTGTTTGGGCAGTTGCCTTGAAAATAGTGATGTCAAGTGAATCGACATCAGAAACATCAAGACAGCTGGAGGTCTTGCTTTCAGAACTGTACTACCAGTGCCTAAAACAGTCTGGGACACATATTAGGTACTTAACGAACATGTTGAAAGAATGGCTGAGAGCAGGAAAATGTGATTTAGAAAAACCCTCAATGGAAAACCTCAAACAGCATGTCCAGTGGATTGGGTCACCGATGCCACTTTTTCTCTGTAAAGGACTACTTACCCCAGGGAGCATATTCCACCCAGACTGGCTTGACTTTGTGAGGGCATTCTATTGATAGAGCCTTTAGAACAGTTGAGCTACCAGCAGCTGTAAAGAGGCTTTCAGGGGAAGGTTTTATTTATTTATTTATATCATTAATGCTTTGTGAATGACTATAGAGATTTTCATCATTTAAAAAATTAGTTCTGGAACGAATAACCACTGGTTTAATTCAATCCTTTGCTTACCATCTTCTAAAGCTTTCCCACAACAAAATGCCTTCTTTGCTAGAACCTTGGGTCTGTTTAAGTTTGGAAAGATCTTGAAAGCAGCTTGCCAAGAGGTTTTGTATGCAAGGAAGAGAGGTGAATTAGGAAACTTTCCCAGTTTGTTTTATTCCTGAAGCTTAAGTATTGAGGCTTCCCTTAAGTATTAAGAGGAGAAATCATTTAAAAATGCATGATTTGATGAGTCATTGGGTTCGATTAATTTGATGCTTACACTATAACATTATTAGAATGAGGGAAATAAGCTGTTTAGTACGTTTAAGAAAGATTTGTTAAGTTTGGGAATAAGGTTTGCATTTTGGCCATTGTATATAGGTGAATGGAATTCGTTCGGTTCCATGTAAACACTCCATTTGATTTGGGAGAGTTTTCAGGACAGAAATGTCATGTTAGGATACACCAGCAGGTGGCAATATGTCCTGGTCTCATCATTAGGAAAGTGGCTTGGAACCCTAATCTGCTTCTATTCTTTCCAAAAATAAACATTACAAAATTAGTTGGCTGTGTCCCGAACTTGAAAAGTCGAGCAATAGTCATCTTTGGCCTCTGTTTATCTTTTCCTTTTTTTCGCCCCCTTCTAACGTCAGCCTTAGCTCATGCATCTATTCAGGGATAATGATCCTTTCATGAACTGTTTCGGAATGACTTTTAGAAACAGCATTGTTAAGAGGTAATTGTTTCCTCTCTCCAGATCCACTGTTTATTAGATTTGATTTGCTACTTGATTTCCACAAAATGGCTGCAATCCCTTGCCACCAACGCGGTTTTAAGCTCAAAAGCCTGAGAGTAGTTTCATCAAAAGGATAGCCACTTTAGCCGTTTGCGGACAGAATTGAGGAACTAAATTTGTATGTGCTACTTCAGTAGCCACAACACTGAATTCTTCAATCATAAAACTAGGTGGAAGTCTAAATCTCTCTACCCAGTAGACAAAAGAAAAACAAACAAAACAACAACAACAAAAATTGAAAAATGATGGGCGCTCTTCAGAGAGAAGTGTAATGCTATTTACTGGAACTGGATAAATCTATTTCCCCCCATTTCTTTCCACTCGTTAAGTCGCTATGGAAAGCACCACGCTTTCTCCATTTGGCAAATCATACTTTTCATTTTGCCAAGGCAGAAACAGCCTAAAAGCAGTACGCAGACCGCGAGATCCCGGCTCGGGTCCCCACTCGGTCCTGGTCCCGCGTCCTCCCCGGGGCGCGGCCAGCAGGTGCCCAGGTGAGCAGCGCCGCGACCTCCCGGCGCCGGGGCTGGCCCCCGGAGGGACGGTGGACCGCGCCTCCCGCGACCGTCGTCCAAAGCCATGCATACGTGCCGTCGGAAAATACGGGGGACAAATACATTTCCTCAAGGAACACAAATTTCCAGGACAAGGGTGGCGGGGGATTCCCAAAGAGCCTCATCCCGAGCTCCTCGGGTTTGGGGGCTGCTCTCAGGCGGTCTCGGGTGAAAGCTGACTTAGCACGAGCTAGATCTAAAGTGCACATCCCAGGCACCCAGTGGTCTGGGGGTTAGGGGTGCGGGGGGGCTGAGACTCCCGGGCCGGGCCGGTTTCCACCTCCCTCCGCTCCGCAGAACTACTTTTCCGCTCCCCCACAC